CTAAGGGCTGTCCGGTCCCTGTACGACCAAAGCAGGAGCTTGGTTCACATTGCCGGCAGTAAGTCAGACTTGTTCCCGGTGCATTTTGGACTGCCCTTTGTCACCGGTTCTGTTCATAATTTTTATGGACAGAATTTCTAGGCTCAGCCAGGGGCCGGAGGGTGTCCGGTTTGGGGACCACACGATTTCGTCTCTGCTTTTTGCGGATGATGTTGTCATGTTGGCCCCATCAGACCAGCACCTTCAGCATGCACTGGCAAGGTTTGCAGCCGAGTGTGAAGTGGCTGGGATGAGAATCAGCACGTCCGAGGCCATGGTTCTCAGTTGGAAAAGGGTGGCTTGCCCGCTTCAGATTGGTGGAGAGTCCCTGGTATCTTGAGTGGAGGAGTTCAAGTATCTTGGGGTCTTGTTCACGAGTGAGGGGAGGATGGAACGGGAGATTGACAGACGGATCGGTGCAGCTTCTGCAGTAACGCGGTCGATGTACCGGTCTGTTGTGGTGAAGAAGGAGCTGCAAGGCGAAGCTCTCGATTTTCCGGTCAATCTACATTCCTACTCTCACCTATGGTCAGTGGCGGCTCCAGACAATTTTGATTGGGGGGGCAATGGGGGGTCCTGGTCATTTCAAGGGGGGTCTCATGAAAACCAACAAAAAATACAGTGAACACGGCTAATAACTACATATTGCTGCTACTTAACAACAAAAACAACACAGCATATCAACTACTTTGTTTTTAATTAATTAATCAATTGCAGTTTGCAAACAATATGCTCGAACTTTAATTGCCATAGCCACACCCATGACAGAAAACATATTTACAAAATAGTATCCTCCTCATCCTCCAATTCCTCGGTGTCCTCTGTTTCCAGTCTTTACTAAGAAATCCTATGAAAAATTATTTACAAAATTTTCTGCAGGACAGTTAAATTCTTTACAATAATATAATATATAATGAAAGAAAATTAAGCTGTTACACTGAGGTGGTTTAGGAAAACCATAAAGTGTTTTTGTACAGTCAATTAATTGTACAGGCAGCATTAAACCATCAAAGTTAAATGATTGTTTATTGCTTATGAATTTCCTAGCCTATATTTTCTTTAGCAGGGGGTTTCAAACTTTTTAATGGCAATGAGCCCTAAACAATACCCTTGTGAGATTCTTTATTTAGGCTTATAATATAATAAAATATAGGCCTAATATAATATAAAAAAATTAATTGAAGTATTTGAAGTGATATAATAAATCAGTTTAAATGCTTCAATTTGTTTTCATATTATATTATTATAATATGAAAACAAACTGAATTTACTGTTACATTTACTGTAAATAGCTAGATCTTATAGCTAAATATTTTCAAGAAAAGTGAATATGTGAACTCTTTTATAGTAGCCTAATCTAACCATGCCTGAAACTATTTAAATCTATGTAAACTAATGATGTATTTTGAGTTTGCACGCGGGTGGGTGTCTGTATTGTTACCGTTCTGTGTCCATCAACCGTTATTTCCACCACTTTAATCAAACCCCTCTTCTTTAAAACATGATATTGTGATTTTATTTCACATGTCTTTGCGTTTCTCGTCGCCTCTCGTATTGAGATAGGCTATTTCGTCCGCAAACACGACTCACTGCCAATCACACGCGCTCACATCATTCTCTTTCTTTGAAACCTGTTAACTGCACTCACCAGTTTGAGCACTGCAATTATTTCTCACATACAATCAAATGGATTTCCCCACACATTTCGCGTCAGTCCTCTGCATGGCATATTATTCTTTTCTGCGCGGCCGCGGCATCAGAAGTGCACGACCGCGCACGCGCGCAGCTTAGAGGGAACGTGATTCTTATGTTTATATATTTTGTATGTCGAATAAATTATTAATTATTATTGTTCTGCGTAGTTTGAAGATAAACATTTTTAAATATTTATCCCGGATATATATATATATTTTAATCAGGAAGGGGGTGGGGGGTCAAATGGGGGGTCAAAGCATTTTTTGGGAGGGTCTTGAGACCCCCCAAGACCCCCCCTGGCGCCGCCGCTGCCTATGGTCATGAGCTGTGGGTCATGACCGAAAGGACAAGATCCCGGATACAGGCGGCTGAAATGAGCTTCCTCTGCAGGGTGGCTGGGCACTCCCTTAGAGATAGGGTGAGAAGCTCGGTCACTCGGGAGGTGCTCAGAGTAGATCCGCTGCTCCTCCACATCGAGAGGGGCCAGCTGAGGTAGCTCGGGCATCTGTTCCGGATGCCTCCTGGACGCCTTTACGGGGAGGAGACCCCGGGGAAGACCTAGGACACGCTGGAGGGATTATGTCTCCCGGCTGGCCTGGGAACGCCTCGGTATCCCCCCGGAAGTGTCTAGGGAGAGGGAAGTTTGGGCGTCTCTGCTTAGACAGCGGAAGAAGATGGTGGATGGTGATGGTGGTGGACCAATATTTCGGTTATCGGTATCGGTCAAAATGTTAATATCGGTGCTTCCCTAGATAAAACTGATATATTTGTAAAAGGAAGAGTGCAATTTGATGTTTCTACCCCACTTTTTGTCACTTTAAAAAAAATCCATAGTGTTTCAATAAATCTGCGTCCATGAAAACCTCCAAATAAGTATTGCAAATTGAATCAATAGCAGGAGGTAAAACTCTCCCCATTCCTAATGATTGAGAATGTCTTATTTAATTTCTGTTGGGTTCCTGATTAGCAACAGTTTCATGGATCCCAAGAGAGTCCCTTTAGAAAGAGGTTTGTGAGTCACTCCATCAAACTCAGTAATTGGTGAGAAAAATGCCCTATTATGTCACTAATTGCCAAGAATTGTTTTTACATTTTAAGGTAAAATGCTAAATCATGACCATTTTGATACGTTGCTTTCTGTCACAACTCGGTAATAATATATCATACACACGACAAGATGAAAGTTCACAGCAGTGTTTAATCATAATCCACAAGTAATCCAGACACATAGACAAACGAAGTGATTAACGATAAAATTGCTGACAGTGATGATGAATCAAATTAGAACAATGACAACAAAACCAATAGTGGGAAATAGTGCTTAACACCAAACAGGGTGATATTGTGACACCTACATAATTTTTAGGATAATTTCCACATTTTATTTCACATTGCTTAATAGATAAAACACATTTGAACAGGTACTTTTAACCTGTATTTTTTGGCTGTCCAGACAAATAATGAAAATTTAAAGAAGAAATGAAAAACAATGGCTTTTTTTCCCATTTGAAGACAGTAAAATGAGGTCAACTACCTAGACACAGACCTGAATGAATTTCTAACCTGCTAGACAATTGTCGTTCCAGCACGAGGCCACAGTGCTTCAGCCGAACACACACTGATGTTCACACCCGAGAGTCTATTCAGAGACTCAGACTGAAAAGGTCACTTCAATAGAAACCCCAATAACCAATGACTATTCAACATCACATCTCGGTTCAGTCACAGAGTTCAGTTCTCATGATGAGGAAGTTTTCCCTGGGTGTGTATAGCGGACACACACTCTACATTATGAACAATATCTGTACAACAACATCTGTTCGTACACGTGTCCCTCCCTGACCTCGTGTTTGGACTTTAATTGGTGTCAGTAATGGCGTCCTGTGAAAGAAGCCTTCAGCGCTGAATGAGTCACAGTGACGATGATGGACGTTTAGTTCCTCGTCGCCTTCATCTCGTGCTCCTCTGTGGAAACTCACATACGGAAGAGATTCAGTCTGAATGAAGAAGTCTTCCTCATTTGCATATAAAAAAGAAGCCAAACCAGTATTGGCTACTGGCATAAAATCTTTACTGTCATCACAGAAAATCAAAACCCTTGTAACACGTTCCTGGTCATATTGTTCACAACTTAACTGTGGTAAATATTCCAATTGAAACAGATGATTGTCTTGAGACTGGAATATTTTACCAAAATGTTAAAAGCATTGGATTATATATTTTCACTTGTTACAAAGTGCCTATGGAAAGATGGTTTAATATATACAGTATATGTTACACTACCAAAGATGAACCAAAGTCTTACCGGTTTGGAACGACCTAAGGGTGAGTAAATTAAATCTTTGAAAAAAATTTCTTCATGCCTTAAAATATCTTGAATGTAACTCGACACCCTTGCCTCATTTAGTATACGCGGCGGTTCTATGAATATGCAAATGAGCCCCGCCTCCATTCACTCACTCAGCTCAGAGATCCACTGGTTGACATCACACGTTGATCTGATTGGTTACAAGGTCGTTTGTGACGTCAGAAACACCAGCGATTTCAAACCGTGTTTTTGAGACTGTCTTTGGTTCACTGCAGTTTTAAGCAGAAAATACTCAGCAATGCTGTCGACTTATGAACTTACACATGATGTGTCTTAAAGCATATTAAAGACACCACATAGACCCATAAACAACAATAAAAGCTGGATTTACACCACAGGGGGACTTTAAATCAAACAGGCTACAATATAAAATTCACCTTTATAGTTTATCGTGCAATTTATATGCTAAAATTAGTTTTACGTGCATATGACATGCACTTTATTACGTGTAATACCCCCGTACCCCACACCACTAATACTAGTACCCAAGAATTTACAGTGCGCATATGCATTAAAAACTAATTCTCGCGTATAAATTGCACGATAAACACAATGCGTGCTATAGAGACGCATCCAATGAGAACGGGTTGATTCTGAAGTGTCCTACCAACTGAGGAACGCGTCTTAATTCTACGTCTTTTGTTATTCTTCATGAATATCCGAGCCTGGTAAACTAACCCGAGTCGGATGGAGGAATTCTCCAGGGTGCTGAAAGTACAGCATCACTTCATCCACACTAGTGAGGGAGTGAGAGAGACATCAGCCACACCCGCTTCTGCTTATTGGGCATCTTTCCGAGGAACGTCACATGCAAAACAGCCACACGTTTATGCCGATGAATTATAGATTAAAGGGAGGCTGAACATGCAGATTGGGTCCCCCCCCCCCCCCCCACACACACACACACACACACTCATGCACCGGTGACCGAGGAGAGAGATGCGTCCTGACGAGCCTTGCTGAAGCGATCTCCGTTTGACAGCGTTCACTCACACACAGCACGGAGAAGAGAAACACACACGATGCGTTTATTCTTCAGAGATGTGGTTCTCTTCCTGCTCAATGCACTGGTGCTGATATCTGCAGCAGGAGAGGAGCTCATCTTCACCAATCATGTTCTGGTCCAGTTGCACGAGGGCACGGATGAAGATGCGCACGCTCTTGCCCTGGAGAACGGCTTCGGGAGCGCGAGGAAGGTATGCGCACCAGAACGCCTGCAGACCTGTCCTGTTGATGCATGCATGCTTAAATAAGGCTCAAAGTCAGGGTTTTATCATATAGAAGCATATGCACCACTCGTGGAAATAAGAGTACACGGTGTTCTTGTTTACATCAGAAACAAATCAACTGAATTAAGCTCTACATTAATAATGCAAAATATAAACTCAGATGAGATGTACATCAATTTACAAAGTCATAGTTTATTGTTTTTTAATGGTCACATAGTCGGAATTAATTTTCCTGATATTCCTACTGAAAGTGCCAAGGGATAAAAGAAGAATACTTAAAATAACGATGTGGAAATAACTTGAACATAGGAATTTCAATTAATCCAGCATAGGATTTGATTTAATTCTTGGAGGGCATATATTTGATCTTATTATGATTTTTGACTAGTGGAGATTGTAGATATACAATTATGCAGCTGATTATGAAAACATTACACAACTGAATCACATCATTTCTTATTTGCTGTACAAGAGAAATATTCACATAAAAACAAAACATTAACCCCTGAAATTGAATGGAATAGCACGGCTTGTCATTTTGATTATGCTAATGTTATTTTTTTTGGTTGTGTAATGTTTACAGGAGCGGTAAAAAAATGACTGAGAATTACTCTAGTGTAAATAATAAACATATCTTTCATCTGACATCCCAATGTTTATTTATTCCATCTCCATAAAGAGTCATTTATCACAGAACAGAGACTTGATTAGCTTGACAAATCAGCCTTGTCAAATGTCAAAACATCACTGGTGTGGAACAGAGCTTCACGTGTGGCCATGCATTGGAATAACAGCTTTCAACTTATTATTGAGAGAGAGAGAGAGATTTTATTCTTCTAATTCATGCACTCTTTGTCTGAACCAATTTACGGTCCCTTTGAATTTGCAATTCACTGCTTCTTTGCTCCTGATAAACAGTGTTGGGACTCTGGGATGAAAACCTGTATTAGATATTAGATATTAGATATTAGATTTTACTTCAATTCCTTGGCCAGAATTTCACAATCACAACTTGCCTTGAACTTAAGAACAAGATTCAAATGAACAATGACAGCCTGTGAAAAGATATTGTGGGAACAATTAAGAATACATAAAATAGAAATTATGAGTTAAAATAAAAAAATACAGTACAGATGCCGAAATATAGATTAGATGTGACGGTTTCAGAGACATAGGATGCAACGGGATCTGCAATCAAACTGTGAGTTCTTAATATTACAAGTTAAGTGCAATGAATATGCTTTTGTAACACAATTTAATCTTATTTATTATTATGAAAAATAATTTCCTCAATGTTAACTTATTAGGATTTACAGTGAGTTGGTGTCACTCAGACCAGGTTTTGTAGATCAATGTAAGCCAATGAAGTTCTTGCCTAATGTTCGAAAAGTGTCAGTTTATATAATATCCAGTAATACAGATCATATGAACATTTCTGTGGGGAGCATTAGTGCCATAAACATCTTACTTTCATTTGTGGTTATCTACACTGCAAAAAAAATGCTTTATTACTTATTTTTATGTTGTTTTCGGAACAACTATCTAAAAATTCTTAAATCAAGAAGCATATACTAGATAAGTAAATGACATAAAAAATTATATCTTGTTTTCTGAAAGAAAACAAAATCTAAATTAAGTGAGTTTTTGTTTAAAACAAGCACATTTACTGCCAATGGGGTGAGAAAAATAATCTTAATTCAAATGAAAAACGAGCAAAACTTCACTCACTTATTTTAGATTTTTCCCCCCAGAAAGCAAGATATAATTTCTTATGTCGTTTACTTATCTAGTAAATGCATCTTGATTTAATAAATGTTAGATATTTGGAGTGGAAACAAGACAAAAATAATTAAGAAAAGCATTTTTTGCAGTGTAATATTTGCATGCACAAACAATCTCAGCATCTTTTATATGCCCAATTTTTAACACATTTTCATGCTGATGAGTGTCAGTTTATTAATTCACATTAGTGGGATGAAATATTCATGTATAACCATGCAGACACTCTGTTTGGCCCTTGAAAACATTACATTAAATCCATCATACTAAAGTGCATCTTCTGGGTTTGGTTTATTCCACACTTCTCAGAGGTCAAACTCTTCTGACAGTCGTGTGTTTATTCCACACTTCTCAGAGGTCAAACTCTTCTATCAGTCGTGTGTTTATTCCACACTTCTCAGAGGTCAAACTCTTCTATCAGTCGTGTGTTTATTCCACACTTCTCAGAGGTCAAACTCTTCTATCAGTCGTGTGTTTATTCCACACTTCTCAGAGGTCAAACTCTTCTATCAGTCGTGTGTTTATTCCACACTTCTCAGAGGTCAAACTCTTCTATCAGTCGTGTGTTTATTCCACACTTCTCAGAGGTCAAACTCTTCTATCAGACGTGTGTTTATTCCACACTTCTCAGAGGTCAAACTCTTCTAACAGACGTGTGTTTATTCCACACTTCTCAGAGGTCAAACTCTTCTGACAGACGTGTGTTTATTCCACACTTCTCAGAGGTCAAACTCTTCTATCAGACGTGTGTTTATTCCACACTTCTCAGAGGTCAAACTCTTCTAACAGTCGTGTGTTTATTCCACACTTCTCAGAGGTCAAACTCTTCTATCAGACGTGTGTTTATTCCACACTTCTCAGAGGTCAAACTCTTCTAACAGACGTGTGTTTATTCCACACTTCTCAGAGGTCAAACTCTTCTGACAGACGTGTGTTTATTCCACACTTCTCAGAGGTCAAACTCTTCTATCAGACGTGTGTTTATTCCACACTTCTCAGAGGTCAAACTCTTCTATCAGACGTGTGTTTATTCCACACTTCTCAGAGGTCAAACTCTTCTATCAGTCGTGTGTTTATTCCACACTTCTCAGAGGTCAAACTCTTCTATCAGACGTGTGTTTATTCCACACTTCTCAGAGGTCAAACTCTTCTATCAGACGTGTGTTTATTCCACACTTCTCAGAGGTCAAACTCTTCTGACAGACGTGTGTTTATTCCACACTTCTCAGAGGTCAAACTCTTCTATCAGACGTGTGTTTATTCCACACTTCTCAGAGGTCAAACTCTTCTATCAGTCGTGTGTTTATTCCACACTTCTCAGAGGTCAAACTCTTCTAACAGACGTGTGTTTATTCCACACTTCTCAGAGGTCAATCTCTTCTATCAGTCGTGTGTTTATTCCACACTTCTCAGAGGTCAAACTCTTCTATCAGTCGTGTGTTTATTCCACACTTCTCAGAGGTCAAACTCTTCTATCAGACGTGTGTTTATTCCACACTTCTCAGAGGTCAAACTCTTCTAACAGTCGTGTGTTTATTCCACACTTCTCAGAGGTCAAACTCTTCTATCAGACGTGTGTTTATTCCACACTTCTCAGAGGTCAAACTCTTCTATCAGACGTGTGTTTATTCCACACTTCTCAGAGGTCAAACTCTTCTAACAGACGTGTGTTTATTCCACACTTCTCAGAGGTCAATCTCTTCTATCAGTCGTGTGTTTATTCCACACTTCTCAGAGGTCAAACTCTTCTATCAGACGTGTGTTTATTCCACACTTCTCAGAGGTCAAACTCTTCTATCAGACGTGTGTTTATTCCACACTTCTCAGAGGTCAAACTCTTCTAACAGACGTGTGTTTATTCCACACTTCTCAGAGGTCAATCTCTTCTATCAGACGTGTGTTTACTCCACACTTCTCAGAGGTCAAACTCTTCTATCAGTCGTGTGTTTATTCCACACTTCTCAGAGGTCAAACTCTTCTATCAGACGTGTGTTTATTCCACACTTCTCAGAGGTCAAACTCTTCTATCAGTCGTGTGTTTATTCCACACTTCTCAGAGGTCAAACTCTTCTATCAGTCGTGTGTTTATTCCACACTTCTCAGAGGTCAAACTCTTCTAACAGTCGTGTGTTTATTCCACACTTCTCAGAGGTCAATCTCTTCTAACAGACGTGTGTTTATTCCACACTTCTCAGAGGTCAAACTCTTCTAACAGACGTGTGTTTATTCCACACTTCTCAGAGGTCAAACTCTTCTAACAGTCGTGTGTTTATTCCACACTTCTCAGAGGTCAATCTCTTCTGACAGACGTGTGTTTATTCCACACTTCTCAGAGGTCAATCTCTTCTAACAGACGTGTGTTTATTCCACACTTCTCAGAGGTCAAACTCTTCTAACAGTCGTGTGTTTATTCCACACTTCTCAGAGGTCAAACTCTTCTATCAGACGTGTGTTTATTCCACACTTCTCAGAGGTCAAACTCTTCTATCAGACGTGTGTTTATTCCACACTTCTCAGAGGTCAAACTCTTCTAACAGTCGTGTGTTTATTCCACACTTCTCAGAGGTCAAACTCTTCTAACAGACGTGTGTTTATTCCACACTTCTCAGAGGTCAAACTCTCCTGACAGACGTGTGTTTATTCCACACTTCTCAGAGGTCAAACTCTCCTGACAGACGTGTGTTTATTCCACACTTCTCAGAGGTCAAACTCTTCTATCAGACGTGTGTTTATTCCACACTTCTCAGAGGTCAATCTCTTCTAACAGACGTGTGTTTATTCCACACTTCTCAGAGGTCAAACTCTTCTATCAGTCGTGTGTTTATTCCACACTTCTCAGAGGTCAAACTCTTCTATCAGTCGTGTGTTTATTCCACACTTCTCAGAGGTCAAACTCTTCTGACAGACGTGTGTTTATTCCACACTTCTCAGAGGTCAAACTCTTCTATCAGTCGTGTGTTTATTCCACACTTCTCAGATGTCAAACTCTTCTATCAGTCGTGTGTTTATTCCACACTTCTCAGAGGTCAAACTCTTCTATCAGACGTGTGTTTATTCCACACTTCTCAGAGGTCAAACTCTTCTAACAGACGTGTGTTTATTCCACACTTCTCAGAGGTCAAACTCTTCTATCAGACGTGTGTTTATTCCACACTTCTCAGAGGTCAAACTCTTCTATCAGTCGTGTGTTTATTCCACACTTCTCAGATGTCAAACTCTTCTATCAGTCGTGTGTTTATTCCACACTTCTCAGAGGTCAAACTCTTCTATCAGACGTGTGTTTATTCCACACTTCTCAGAGGTCAAACTCTTCTAACAGACGTGTGTTTATTCCACACTTCTCAGAGGTCAAACTCTTCTATCAGACGTGTGTTTATTCCACACTTCTCAGAGGTCAAACTCTTCTAACAGGCGTGTGTTTATTCCACACTTCTCAGAGGTCAAACTCTTCTGACAGACGTGTGTTTATTCCACACTTCTCAGAGGTCAAACTCTTCTATCAGACGTGTGTTTATTCCACACTTCTCAGAGGTCAAACTCTTCTATCAGTCGTGTGTTTATTCCACACTTCTCAGAGGTCAAACTCTTCTATCAGACGTGTGTTTATTCCACACTTCTCAGAGGTCAAACTCTTCTATCAGTCGTGTGTTTATTCCACACTTCTCAGAGGTCAAACTCTTCTATCAGTCGTGTGTTTATTCCACACTTCTCAGAGGTCAAACTCTTCTATCAGTCGTGTGTTTATTCCACACTTCTCAGAGGTCAAACTCTTCTATCAGTCGTGTGTTTATTCCACACTTCTCAGAGGTCAAACTCTTCTAACAGTCGTGTGTTTATTCCACACTTCTCAGAGGTCAAACTCTTCTATCAGTCGTGTGTTTATTCCACACTTCTCAGAGGTCAAACTCTTCTATCAGACGTGTGTTTATTCCACACTTCTCAGAGGTCAAACTCTTCTAACAGGCGTGTGTTTATTCCACACTTCTCAGAGGTCAAACTCTTCTGACAGACGTGTGTTTATTCCACACTTCTCAGAGGTCAAACTCTTCTATCAGACGTGTGTTTATTCCACACTTCTCAGAGGTCAAACTCTTCTATCAGTCGTGTGTTTATTCCACACTTCTCAGAGGTCAAACTCTTCTATCAGTCGTGTGTTTATTCCACACTTCTCAGAGGTCAAACTCTTCTATCAGTCGTGTGTTTATTCCACACTTCTCAGAGGTCAAACTCTTCTATCAGTCGTGTGTTTATTCCACACTTCTCAGAGGTCAAACTCTTCTATCAGTCGTGTGTTTATTCCACACTTCTCAGAGGTCAAACTCTTCTAACAGTCGTGTGTTTATTCCACACTTCTCAGAGGTCAAACTCTTCTATCAGTCGTGTGTTTATTCCACACTTCTCAGAGGTCAAACTCTTCTATCAGTCGTGTGTTTATTCCACACTTCTCAGAGGTCAAACTCTTCTATCAGTCGTGTGTTTATTCCACACTTCTCAGAGGTCAAACTCTTCTATCAGACGTGTGTTTATTCCACACTTCTCAGAGGTCAAACTCTTCTATCAGTCGTGTGTTTATTCCACACTTCTCAGAGGTCAAACTCTTCTGACAGACGTGTGTTTATTCCACACTTCTCAGATGTCAAACTCTTCTATCAGTCGTGTGTTTATTCCACACTTCTCAGAGGTCAAACTCTTCTATCAGACGTGTGTTTATTCCACACTTCTCAGAGGTCAAACTCTTCTATCAGACGTGTGTTTATTCCACACTTCTCAGAGGTCAAACTCTTCTATCAGTCGTGTGTTTATTCCACACTTCTCAGAGGTCAAACTCTTCTATCAGTCGTGTGTTTATTCCACACTTCTCAGAGGTCAAACTCTTCTATCAGACGTGTGTTTATTCCACACTTCTCAGAGGTCAAACTCTTCTATCAGTCGTGTGTTTATTCCACACTTCTCAGAGGTCAAACTCTTCTATCAGTCGTGTGTTTATTCCACACTTCTCAGAGGTCAAACTCTTCTATCAGTCGTGTGTTTATTCCACACTTCTCAGAGGTCAAACTCTTCTATCAGTCGTGTGTTTATTCCACACTTCTCAGAGGTCAAACTCTTCTATCAGACGTGTGTTTATTCCACACTTCTCAGAGGTCAAACTCTTCTATCAGACGTGTGTTTATTCCACACTTCTCAGAGGTCAAACTCTTCTATCAGACGTGTGTTTATTCCACACTTCTCAGAGGTCAAACTCTTCTGACAGACGTGTGTTTATTCCACACTTCTCAGAGGTCAAACTCTTCTATCAGACGTGTGTTTATTCCACACTTCTCAGAGGTCAAACTCTTCTATCAGACGTGTGTTTATTCCACACTTCTCAGAGGTCAAACTCTTCTATCAGACGTGTGTTTATTCCACACTTCTCAGAGGTCAAACTCTTCTATCAGACGTGTGTTTATTCCACACTTCTCAGAGGTCAAACTCTTCTGACAGACGTGTGTTTATTCCACACTTCTCAGAGGTCAAACTCTTCTAACAGTCGTGTGTTTATTCCACACTTCTCAGAGGTCAAACTCTTCTATCAGACGTGTGTTTATTCCACACTTCTCAGAGGTCAAACTCTTCTGACAGACGTGTGTTTATTCCACACTTCTCAGAGGTCAAACTCTTCTATCAGACGTGTGTTTATTCCACACTTCTCAGAGGTCAAACTCTTCTATCAGACGTGTGTTTATTCCACACTTCTCAGAGGTCAAACTCTTCTAACAGGCGTGTGTTTATTCCACACTTCTCAGAGGTCAAACTCTTCTGACAGACGTGTGTTTATTCCACACTTCTCAGAGGTCAAACTCTTCTGACAGACGTGTGTTTATTCCACACTTCTCAGAGGTCAAACTCTTCTATCAGTCGTGTGTTTATTCCACACTTCTCAGAGGTCAAACTCTTCTAACAGACGTGTGTTTATTCCACACTCCTCAGAGGTCAAACTCTTCTATCAGACGTGTGTTTATTCCACACTTCTCAGAGGTCAAACTCTTCTATCAGACGTGTGTTTATTCCACACTTCTCAGAGGTCAAACTCTTCTAACAGACGTGTGTTTATTCCACACTTCTCAGAGGTCAAACTCTTCTGACAGGCGTGTGTTTATTCCACACTTCTCAGAGGTCAAACTCTTCTAACAGACGTGTGTTTATTCCACACTTCTCAGAGGTCAAACTCTTCTGACAGACGTGTGTTTATTCCACACTTCTCAGAGGTCAAACTCTTCTATCAGACGTGTGTTTATTCCACACTTCTCAGAGGTCAAACTCTTCTATCAGACGTGTGTTTATTCCACACTTCTCAGAGGTCAAACTCTTCTAACAGGCGTGTGTTTATTCCACACTTCTCAGAGGTCAAACTCTTCTGACAGACGTGTGTTTATTCCACACTTCTCAGAGGTCAAACTCTTCTGACAGACGTGTGTTTATTCCACACTTCTCAGAGGTCAAACTCTTCTATCAGTCGTGTGTTTATTCCACACTTCTCAGAGGTCAAACTCTTCTAACAGACGTGTGTTTATTCCACACTCCTCAGAGGTCAAACTCTTCTATCAGACGTGTGTTTATTCCACACTTCTCAGAGGTCAAACTCTTCTATCAGACGTGTGTTTATTCCACACTTCTCAGAGGTCAAACTCTTCTAACAGACGTGTGTTTATTCCACACTTCTCAGAGGTCAAACTCTTCTGACAGACGTGTGTTTATTCCACACTTCTCAGAGGTCAAACTCTTCTGACAGACGTGTGTTTATTCCACACTTCTCAGAGGTCAAACTCTTCTATCAGTCGTGTGTTTATTCCACACTTCTCAGAGGTCAAACTCTTCTAACAGACGTGTGTTTATTCCACACTTCTCAGAGGTCAAACTCTTCTATCAGTCGTGTGTTTATTCCACACTTCTCAGAGGTCAAACTCTTCTAACAGACGTGTGTTTATTCCACACTTCTCAGAGGTCAAACTCTTCTATCAGACGTGTGTTTATTCCACACTTCTCAGAGGTCAAACTCTTCTGACAGACGTGTGTTTATTCCACACTTCTCAGAGGTCAAACTCTTCTGACAGACGTGTGTTTATTCCACACTTCTCAGAGGTCAAACTCTTCTGACAGACGTGTGTTTATTCCACACTTCTCAGAGGTCAAACTCTTCTAACAGACGTGTGTTTATTCCAGCTTCCCTTTGGCGAGGGGTTATTTCATTTCTACCCACGGGAAATCCCTAAGACTCGAAGGAAACGCAGCGTTCACCACCTCCACCGCCTGGCGAACGATCATCGGGTAAGACCAGCATCTCACAGTGTGTGTGTGTGTGTGTGTGTGTGTGTGTGTTCCCATAGAAACAAACCCAGTCATTGGTAAACAACAGCTAATCTGATGCCAGATCCATTGCTTTTATGAGTTAAAGACTAACATGTCAATCAAGTTTTTGTCTTGATGTTTGAATGCTATGTTATTAGCTATTATGACACTATGCAGTTTGAATGAGGTTATATTTATGCTTTGTTCTGATTCTGGATGCTGATTGGTCTAAAATGCACAATATAGCCACAGCTCTGATGCGAAACACGCTAACGTTAGTTTACATGGCTGTCATCCACTGAATTGTATTATTTAAAATGATGCTTAATGGCACGTTGTGTCAAGGTCATGCTGTATGTGTGTCATGACAATATCAGTATATATATCACCTGTAGCACAACCTCTCAATGTACAGCATAGGAAATACATAATGTATGTTTTAATGTCAGCATAGGATGAACTGCACTTTCTAAAGTTGAGCAAGTTGATTGATTAACTGGCAGCTCAGACAGGAGGAGACATGTTTGTTTTGTTTTTATGCTACAGTGTGAACATCCAATACATACCAGTTATTTCACAGACTTAAAACAGTGAAATATACAGTACAGCTGAGTTTGAAACGGACTACACTGTCTGTTTGGAGCTGAGACTGCTATTTCATAAAATAAAATGAACCATAAATGAACCATAGATGTTTTTTGAGACAGAAAACGTGAAGATTTCAATCTGTAAGATTTAAGCCTGTAATCATCCTCCGTAATCCAGAGGCGGTACAGCAGCGATCGGCACTCGCATGAGAGGATCTGTTCAGTTCCTGCACTTTTAATAACTAAACCGCTATTAATGTTCAATTGTGGGTTTGAGGAGTTGAATTATTTATTAGTCTGTTCATCAGGGCTGAACCTCTCAAAAGCATTGCTCCGGCTAAAGTGTGTTAACTCATCCGCCAAACCCTCAGCATCAACATATTGAGCTTCAGTCATCGTTTGCAAAGATCCTCAAAGCATGAAGATGCATTATATAAAGTCATTGCTGGTGAAAGCTTCTCTAGACATCAGGCAAACAAACCGATTTCAACTTGATTCACGTAAACTTAGTCATTTTTCCTGCTTAATCTGATGTATTTCATGTCTTCCACTCTTCACCATCCTATCATTTCCAGATTAATAAAACCACGCATTTATTCCTCATTGATTATCATGTTCCGAAATACATCACATTATGGAAGTGAAATGTATAAAATGGGTGGTATAATGCCCTTCTCACAAGATGTAAAATAAGTCTCTGATGTCCCCAGAGTGTGTGTGTGTGAAGTGTGTTAAGCTCAAAATACCCCACAGATTTTTTATAGCATGTTAAAATTGTCACTTTTTGAGGGTGAGCAAAAATGTGGCGTGTCCCTTTAAATGCAAATGAGCTGCTTCTCCCGGCACAGGGGGCGGAGCTTCAAGAGTTCGTGTGTGTGTGTGTGTGTGTGTGTGTGTGTTACCATCTCCGATTACCTCACACACACGCACTGAACATTTCAAAAACTTTTAGCTTTTTATGTTCAAACCGGAGTCAGACAAAGATGGAGAGACTAAGAAGAAGTGACGACATGTAGAGCAACAGGACATTTCTGAATGGTTAGTTGATGAATTTATGTATCTGATGTGGAGTTAACACTCTTCTAGTCATTGATTAGCATATTCTGTCACGATAATCTATAAATCGCGTTCCTGGGGGCGGAGTTTATGTAAATTTTAGGGTTTGTGATGTCACTAACCCGGGAGGAAGCTCGTGTAGTTCCTACCAGCCGTTTGTTGTAGTCCTTAAAAAGTGATTTCTGTAAAACCAAATATCTCCCTTTGCTCTGAACTTTGAGCGGCGTAACTTTGCAGATGTTGTTTATGCTCAAACAGCAACATTACACACTAACTACAGTTAAAAAAGTGAAATCATAATCAATCACCCCTGTAAGAACAGTGGTTGCGTCCGAAATCGAACGTGTAGGGACTTGTTTTCAATAAGAAATTACTTCACGATGGCTAAATTGTATGAATGTAATCCGGGCATACTACATCCGCCATGATGTCAATATCATGTGACCTTCCAGCGCTACTGTCATTCATAAACCCTCTCCCGTGGCCTCATGGGATAGCAAAGCGTCCATCGTCTCACACTTCAAATCTCGCCGGAATAAGTGGGACTTTTCCCTACTCTTATATGAGCACTGTGAGACATACTTCTTTTGTCACGTACTGTTTTTGTCTACTATATAGTAGGGAAGTGTGTGATTTCAGATGCAGCCAGTGTTTTATGTTTAATTCAATTCACTTGAATTAAAAGCTCACCGATCAATAATGCCTCTATTTTTCGCTGTCTGTTTCCATCTATCACATGGATGATATCTCTGAAAACTTCCCCACTTACAGTTTTGATTCAATTAGAGTATGTTGACCAGGGTAATCAATTCAGAAATGACAGTCCCATCATATTTCATCCATTCATCATCTTGACAAACGACACACGTCTCATTAACAGACTGATGGGCATTAGCTCCGCTGACGGACACGAGCTAATAATGGACAGCAGGGGGAAACAATGCAAATGCTAATCATACAAATATAACCGACTATAAAATCATGCAATTACAAAAAAGAAAAAAGCTTTTGCAAAGGAGAAGAATAAAATATGCTTGCGACATCTTTTGTTGTTGGCATCAGAGGTTTTGTGTCCAATCAAACTCTGCTGTATTTTGGTGAAAATGATCCGTCACTTGATTGAATTTAGTACAAATACATTGTAAAAACAATGATAACTTGTAATTTGTATCTTAATTAGCTATTACATGCAATGCATAAAACATTGTTGTTGGTATATCAATTATTCACTGATTTTAAATAATATTTTTGACGTTCTCGGTGTAGACAGAGATCCATACAGCCGTGAACAAAACTACACAAAGTAAAGGAAAATATGACCCAGACTACATTAAATACAGGTTTATTGCAATGGGAATACACATTGTGTTGCTTTGAGTGTGTTTCGGGACGCGAAATGCATGAAACCGTTGAAATTCAAGAGACGTTTAGAAACACAAACGTACAGCTTTGTTGCATTGATTGGGCCTATGCAGTTTGTTGTGAAACAATGCAATATCAATGTTTGATTTTAAGGACATGACCCAACATTGTTCAAAACTAATGTCCAGGAAGTAAATCCTGCCGGAGAATGAAGGAGAGGTTTCTCCATCGACATCATCTCCAGCTCAAGTGTTGTGTGTATTCTCAGAGCGCTGTGTATTGATCTGTGTCCTGTTTTTGTGCTCCGCTCATTCACACACTCCTCTCATATTTGCTTTGCTCTTCATTTGGACAGTCTCTCTCTGTTGTGTAACAGCGTTCTTCCTCACGCTGTTAAACGGCAACACAACTGTCCGTGTCGGATCGTAATCGGACATATTTACAAAGCAAGCTACGTTTAAATAAAGGATTGCATAGTCAAGTCATCCTCATTTATATAGCGCTTTTAACAATGGAGATTGTTTCAAAGCAGCTTTACAGAGATACACATACAATTTACGGCAACAGAGATTGTTTTGGCTTTATAACGATTTTTGAATAATGTTATTTCCGGCTAAAGTTGGTTTTGATTGATTCACTTCCAGCAAAATTATCATTTGTTATTACATTAGGGGCCGCTAAGACGACGGCGTTCTCTCTAAACAGACTTTAAACACGAACCTGTGACTCTATAGTTATATTCGTTTGAATATATGTGCGCAGGTTTGTAATTTCCCTACAAACCATGCCTAAACAAACTACTTGTCTTGCCTATACATCACTTCGGGGTACGCGAGCTGGATTTTCAACAACGCATAGATGAGCTACACTCTTAAAAATAAGGCATTAGTGGTTCTATGAAGAGCCTTTAACATCTATGGAACTTACAAAAAGTAGAAAAAAGTTGTTGGTTTTGGGGTTCACTTTATGGAGCGGTTCTTCTATGGCGTCGCTGCGAAAACCCCCTTTTGGAAGCTTTATTTATTTTTATTTTTTTTTACTTTTTTTTATTGAAAACAAGGAACAAGGGGTCATCATAGGAGTTGTCCAGACAATACAATTTCCATACACTCTTTGAATTACAATAACACACTTATCCGTATCAATCCATTTATCCCAATACTTAATACGTTTTTCCAAATTAAGTCTAACAGTAAATGTAAGTATATTTCGTTTACAATTTACATCCTCTGGTCTCTTGTTGGAGGTTTAACCTGCAACCATTTTCGAGTTTGCTTGCTAAACGTATTTTTAATTTAAGTATTTATCACTGTTTAGAACTATTTTAGGTATTTTTCCTAAGTACAACGAGCAGGAACATTTTCTTCTCATCTAAAAGAAAGTATTTGTTCTGTGGCTCTTCGTATCGCTCTGGGTTTTGGGTTTTAACTCAACTATGCTAGTGGAGCCATTATTACACACTTCACCTTTAAAGGTGACCTATAATTCAAAATTGAATTTACCTTGGTATAGTCAAATAACAAGAGTTCAGTGCATGGACATGACATAGAGTGAATCTCAAACTGGACTGTTTTCGCGTTCTCATTTAATTCACGTTTATGAAAAACACCCCTGAAAAACGGTCGGTTCTCCACACAATACCGACTGTGACGCAATAGTCGGGATCATTAATATGTACGCCTCCAAATATTTGCATAATGCCAGCCCTCAATGCCAGGCGGAACTGCGCAGCCGAAGCATGGCAGTTGCTCAGTGTGGATGTACACAAAAGTATTTTTTAGTTCCTTCATCTGAGCCTCTGAAGAAACAATGGGTTAATTTTATTTTCTCTGGAAATTTCCAAACATTTCACCGACTGTTTCCTCAACTTGGGCCAATACAGAGCTGGCCTCGGATCGAGCTACCAAGCAACACTTTCTGATGTGTAATTGTTCAAGTTCAGACAGGTAATCTTTCTCTCAAAATCGTTCAATACTGTTTATGCATCAGTAAGTCAAGCCAGTGACTAAAATATCAGCTTCACATCGTTTCTTTTAGTAGGATGAAAATAATCGTATTTAAATTGTGAACAAATTATATACAGAAAGCGATCAAAGAACAATCTTTCCACACAGCGCGAGTTTATCTGGACACTTGCCAAACTCGTTATGAAATCAATGACGCACGTTACTGCACAACGAAGCTCTTACTGTATTTACATCATCGTGTTTGCATTGGTGAAAGCATTAGAGAGAGTGCAGAAACTGCTTTGCAATGATAAGATCTTCATTCTCGCGATCAACACACTGTCATCTGCTCAATGCTCATCACGGCAACATTTTATGTGATGGGAATAGATCTAAATACTTTAAAAACATCTCACGATTCGTTAATCTCGTTAGCTGTTATAGTAAAAACGAATAATAGCAGTAGTAAAAGTATTCGGGAGAGAGTTTCACATGTAATGCGTAGCTATTTCATATGCAAGCATGTCAGCCAATCACAGCAGTGGCCGCGGTTACACTGAATCCCACAGCCAATCACAGCAGTGGCCGCGGTTACACTGAATCCCACAGCCAATCACAGCAGTGGCCGCGGTTACACTGAATCCCACAGCAGACACGCCCCTTCAAACAGAGTGTTCAAATCAGAGGCTAAAAGCAGGCTAGGAAAAATGCCATTTATTTCTAAATTATGATTATTTTTTATCTAAAAAACATACTAACATTACAAGGGTAACCCAGGAAACATTATAAAATAATAAAAAAAAACATTCTAGGGCACCTTTAAAGACACGTTTAAATAAGCACGTGTTCTGAACTTTAGGGACGAAATTAAGAAGGAGATTTACATTTGCTACCTCGGAAACACTTGTGTTTTCTTTAGGGAATGCAAATCTGCACTGCTTGTGTTCTCTCCTGGATCAATCATTTCAACCGGTGTTTTTCTAATTTGAAAGTCACTTCGGATAAAGCAGTCTTCCAAATGAATAAAAAAATGCACTACAATATGATTGCGTATGAAGATGTGTCTGTAAAGGGAAAGGACAGTGTTCAGGGCGACGCACGTATGAAGCGAACGGTGCCATTTTGAGAAGCAGCAACATCTGAGTCACGAGTTTGTCAGATGTGAGGAGATAAGACAGGCTGATCTGAGCGCAGTCCCACCGGAAACACCACGAACACACAGCACAGAAACACACAGGGTTAGGAACATATCCTGAATGTCCCTTAATCAGGAAACATCATGAGTTCTGGGGTTTTAAGGATCACTGATGGTAAAACACAATGCAGCTGATTGCCAAATTGGTAAATGAAAGGTAATGTGTCCTTCAAAACCCATACTGTAGTGTAGTGAATTTTTACAATAGACCGAACCGACCCATAAACCCCTGAAACCAATTTATTCCTTCTACCCGTCACTTTATTCCTTCTACCCGTCACTTTCCCACCTTTCAGCTCAGATTCGTTCGACTCAATTATCATGTCCTTGAATGTAGCTGGTAGAGAGATTTTCTTCTCATCTTTTGTAGAAAGAAACACATTGATAGAATACTGTGTTTTGTACTCTGGCTAAAATCTTAAATCACTGTATTAGTAATGTGTTTTTAATAAAAGTAATATCCTGATATACATTTCTCCTGAAAATTTGAGGAAAAAGTTTCATACTGTGGTTCTGCCAATCTGTGGATAAACCAGTGAAAAGGTTCATTTCATTTGATTATATTAACATTTTAGCTGGAACTCTATGGATGCATATTCAAAGATTATTCATAACAAACGGAGAAACTCATTATCACTGTTGACTTCTGACAGCTGTCACAGTCGGCTGACGCAGAGATGAAGGAAAGCTGGATCTCATTGCAGAAGCTTCTTTATTTTTCAAACTCAAACACAGGTTCAGATATCAAAAACATGAACAGAACAACCAACTTAATGCAATGAAGACCGAATTAGAAAACAGGCTCAAGATATACGAACACAAACCAATGACCGAAACGAGTGACAGGTGCAGTGCATTAAACAATCAATGAATAACCATGGAAACACAACACTAACACAGGCAACAGAACATGAATCAAACTCAGACAAAATGTGACAACAACACTTCAGTTTTATTCTTTATAAAAATGAACAAGTTACTTGATAAGGCCACTAAATTAAAGTTCTACATTTCTACATTGTCATATCGATCAGACTAAGTCTGTATTGTTTTTTTGTAGTCTGCATTATTACTTTTAACCATCTCTATTACTGAGATCTCAAGCCATATTTATCTATAATGCATTAGAAATAAGTTTATATTGTTCATAAATGTCATACTTGTAATGTACCACATGGTTCAGTATCTGTGAAGGTCTTTCCAAATGGGAAAATTCACAATTATGCTGGACTGTATTGCCCAATATGCCCTGTGCATCTTAGCGTGGCCCTTATTTGCACCAAAGCACCACATACGGGTCATATGTTGTCTGATTTAATTTATTTGAATGACTCTGAATGGGGAGTGTGTGTGTGTTGATTTTCTGCCGCAGTGGATCAGTGGGGTCAAAGAGCTCTGACCTCTCATGGGTCTCGATGCTGGGAGATATTTGCACGACTGTGAGATATTCATACCCTTGCAGACAGCTTTGGGCTTCTGAATTAGGGATGCACGATATATCGGCCACCATATCGATATCGGACGGTATATGATAATTCATAATGTTAACGTTAAGAAAATTTGGCCGAAATATTCAAGCCGATAAATAATGGATTATTTCCTTCAGCTGAAACACTTCAGATGTGCACTGTTGGAATTGCTTGAAATATGATTGGAATCACTTCAAAAAAGGAAAATACAGTTCATGTGCACCGCAGATCTGTCATATCGGCGACATAAAATTATAATGAGAACATTATAATTGTGTGTTTGGGTCATGGCTTTTACATGGCTTTGTAATCAGGCTCTCAAAATGTATATACAAATTTAGACTTATCGCCCAATATATCAGTTATCGGATTTCAAATATAAAGAATTATTTCGAATTTGAATATCGGTGCATCCCTAATTTAAATGTTAGCGTTTTAGCCTCGGTATAAAGCATGTATGGATGTAAAGGTGCAAAGTAACAATTTGCCAGAACTATACGTTTTATAATAGACTCCTGTATAAGGTCGGAAAATAAGTCATGCTCATGAAAATAAGTCATGTGTCATGCAGTGTTTTAAGCATTCAAATGTTCTCGAATCTGTGTGCTTTTACACTTGCCGATACGACAGAGATCAAAATGAAAAATTCGCAAGCAAAATGGCCGCCAAATGGGAAATGCTGATCTGATGCTGGTGTGTGTGTGTGTGTTGTGTGGAGGGTTCGAGCCGCCATCAAAGCGCTCTCTGAGGCCGAGCGCAGACTTTGATCTGTTCAGTGTTTATTCCACATGCAGATGTGAGAGTGTAATGGGGGGTTTCTTTGTCTGACGTCACGCTCTGGTTCTGCTAGTGATGGGCTTCGGGGGGTTCTGCTGTGTGGAGGTGAAGGGTCTCGCTGTGAAGTTTCTGCTGCGTGAGGCTTTAAAGGACAGCGATCCGACCATGAGTAATCCTGCACTTTGAAACTCTTCGAGCTGTGAATATTGTGCTCTGCTGTTTGTGTCTACTGATAAGACTTCATGGATGATCACCAGCAGATGTTGTGTTTCGGACTAACGAATTTGCTTAAAGTTTCCCTGTAGTCACTCATTTTATCCCTTAAAACTTATCTTTGATCACCTAAATGACATATTTAAAGTCCCACTCCGATCATACTTTGAGCTATTTTTAAACATTCCCAGTGGTCTTTAAATTATGATTGTGCCATTTTTAGCCAAAATCACAAAACCTGTGCCGTTTTCTGGGACTTCGCTTCAGCAGAGTGGCAGTTGCTCATTAGCAATTCGCCTCTGCGTTGTGGGCGGAGCCGTTGGCACGGAGACGCCCCTCCCCCTCCCCGTTGCTGAGAGCTCTGTCTCTCCCGCTAGCTTACACCCCCAATACCGGTGGGGCAACAGTATTATATACACGTTAATTATTATTATCCGAAGTTAATCAAAGTTATCACCGATCATTATTTCACTCCAAGACGTCGCGTGTGGAGACGCCCAGTGGAGTTACTACGTCACAACTCCAGTCTATTTTAGCCGGCATTTTAGCGTCTGTAACTTGATTCACAGCCATTTGAATGTAGAAATACTCAGAAATACAACTTTGAGCTTATTTTTCTCAAGATATGTCCTCTAACATCAGAAAAATGGGCGGAGTGGGTCTTTAAATGTTCTTTCCTGTGAATTTGTTTTCATGCCTTAAAATAGCTTGAATGGAACTACAGTATTTGTTGAATGTATTCAAGCATAGAAGTGTGAGTCTGAAGCTTGAAATCCAAAGTAAGTTGCTTTTGTTTTCCAGGTGAAGAATGTGTTTCCTCAGGAGGGATTTGGCCGTCAAAAGAGGGGCTACAGAGAAATCAGTAACTCCGACGTCAACATGACTGACCCGCTTTTCACCAAGCAGTGGTATCTTGTAAGTAATTATTGTTCATAATGTCTTCATTTTATTTGACCTTCAGCATTGGAAGTGAGTGTATTGCATTAGTCGGGAATTACTCTTCATTTAAACGCTTTTCCTCATTAGCCGTCACCGTAAACATGAGCCGTCATCAAAACACACTGATATCTTCTTTATTTCTCCAGGGCTTATCGTGACAGCCGGTTCTGCCCAGGAGAACGTTCTTTAATTTAGTTTGTCAGTTATAAACACTCCACAGCAGGGTTTCAGCCATGTGTAATATCTGTGTGACATTTACTTTCCCTTCCACGCCTCCTCCCTCATGACATCTAATGTTCAGCTCGTGTGACGCTTTCGCTATTGTTTGATTAGATAAACACGGGCCAAGCGGACGGGACCCCGGGGCTGGACCTGAACGTGGCAGAAGCCTGGAACATGGGCTTCACCGGCAAAGGAGTGACCATCGCCATCATGGACGACGGTGAGCGAAGCCTGTCCAGCAAACACTGCTGTGTGCAAATGAACGGCCAGAACGCATTTAAAGTTTTCTGTTTTCAGTTAAATGGTGAATAACTAATGAAGTTAATCAATCAAAACTAACTTGAGCTGGACAATAACTTTATTCTAGAGCTGCTGTAAAGCCTAAACAATCTCTGTTACTGTAATCTCCTATTATCACTGTAAAGCGGCTTTGAAACAGTCTATATTGTTAAAAGCGCTATGTAAATGAAGGTGACTTGACTTGACATAGACCAGTTATATATGAATTAAAGTGCCACTATTATGCTTTATTGGATATTTCCTCTCATGTAGTGTGTAATAGAGCTGTTTGAGAGTGTAAAAGGTCTGTTAAGTTAAGATCAAATTGCAGAGTTTTTGTCTCCCAAAAGAAAGAAGTGATTCTTCCAGATGAACCTGTGTAGGTTTGTGACTAATTAGCATAATGCCAGCCTGTGGTGTTGATTGGCTGAACAGCGTCTCTTAGCTCCGCCCTCAATCACTGTAGTGTATCTGAGACTGGGAGAGTTGGGTTCGTGTTGTTCGTGTCGAGAAGACGCTGTTTTCTGCTCACAAAGCAAATCCACTTTGATGAGATTGATACGGTGAAACCCTCGCCATCGTTACTGTTCGTATCACTGTGATCAAGAGCTGAGATTCACATATGATAATGAGCGTTTGCTGTCTGACCAATCAGAGCAGAGCAGCTCTCAGAGAGGCGGGGCTTAGAGAGACTGAATCTTTATCGGAGCGTTTCAGACACTGAGAGAAAGAGCTGATGCTGCAGTGGAGATTATGAGTTAAATAAAGTGTTTTTGACCTTAGATGCGTTTAAACCTGTTGTAGGAGACTCTGAAACAACATTAGGAACCTTTAAAATAGCACAATAGAGGCACTTTAAAGGCTTGATAATGTTTAATATTGTTAGCGAATTTCATCATGTAAAGATTGAATGCCCAATAAAGTACTATTTTGACGTCACCTTGCAGGTATTGATTATCTACATCCAGATCTTGCCTCAAATTATGTAAGTACTTTTTTCATTTAATCCTCATATTTAATATTTATATAATATTTTAAGTAAATAGTAAATATTTTAAAGACTTTGCAATAAGGTCCCATTTGTAATGCAATTAATTAAAATGACAAAATACAACTGTACATTGTTAGTTCATGTCAGCTTGACATGTCCATAATAAAAGATACAACTTATGATTTCAATGTAGTAGTTAATGTTGAAACTAATATTAGCGAAGATTAATAAACGCTTTAGAAATATTTTTTATGTTAACTAATGGAACCTTGTTGTAATGTGTGACCGTTGAAGTACTTTTAATCTGTCAAGTATTTATCTGGTTATTCAATAGAAAACCATTTTAATTGAATGCTCAACAAACATTATTTTATTATCGTATATACACTTATGTTTAACGACTCACACTGTGATACGCAGCTTTGGTCATGCCACACACACCGAGTTCCTCTCACACGTCCAGAACTCAGATTAACTAACTGGCTAATGTGGAGCGCTAAACAAGCTAACTCCTCTGTGTTGTTTTACATTTCTCAACCTAATTAATGTTTAATGTTCATGCGGCTTATGAAGCTTTACAGCATGTGGACTAAATCCTATGCATGGCAATGATCCCTGTTGTAAAGGTTTGCAAAGAAAGGCTTTCTTCTCTTCAGACAGATGACACATTTCCATCCTGTGCGCAATTAAATATGCAGCTAATGGCGAGTCCTCTTCCCCGCTGAGACGGGATTTGCTGCACCTTGGCAATTAAGAAAGGCTGCCACACATCATACATCAGCGCCTTACTTGCATACATACAGTAGATCTCTTCCCATCTTTCCCCAACCCTGTGTCTCTCAGAAGAGATGCACTGTTTTCTGTCTGCCAGTCCTTTCGCTGGAGGAAGTCATGCTAAAATACTCTTAGTGTTTCCTGCACTTATAGTGAGTGGCAGTGTCAAGGCAAAGGCAAGGATGTTTTAGTTATGATGTTTAGAGTTTAGAGCTTGTCAGTCTGAATTGAATGCGATGAAAGGACGATTTGGTGCCATAAAACAGAACAACGTCTATAAATAGTTAATGCATTTTCCTTTTGTGTTGTCTTTACTAGTTGCACGCAGCAACAAACACATTCATGAACGAATTGCTCTTATGATGACCCAGTTCTTTTTAACGAATCTTAACCCTGTAAAAGCCTATTATATCATAATTGATAAGCACATTTTGAAGGCCTCTGAATGATCAAAACATTACTGAAAAACCTTTGCACTGAATCTACTACAGTCTTTCTGTCGTCTGATTGATAGTTTACTTTAGATCTTTTTTTAGCAAATAAAAGTCTTTTAGTATAATTGTGCAAACGTCCACCTTCAGCTCGAGATTCATGTGTCTTTTTGCTGATCTATACTGATACTGAAGTAAACCTGAGAATAACTTTAATATTTTTTAGTAATATTTCAAGATGAACACTGACTGGACTGAAGCAACATAAATGTACTTGGTTATCAATACATCATTTGTTTTTTGAAAAATCAAATATGATCATCGGGCATTTGAGGAAGGTTTATTTGTTCATCTCTCAATCATCATTGTATTGCATTACATTATATGTTGAGCTTTGATCATAAATCAGCATTTAAATATCATCTTACTAAGATATATTATTAACAGATATAGAGTGACAACTGATATTTATATGCATTTTATGTAAGTAGTGCTATACTGTTATAAAGATCTCATTGATTCACATTGCAAGCATCAGATTTGAATCTTTTATACATATTTTATACAATGCTGGGCACCATTTTAGGTTCTGCGGCGATGAGATGACGTCAAATGGTGGCACTCTGTGAGCCACTGGCTATTGCTATTTTTAACGCAACACAACTCGGAAAATAAAATACTTATACTATGCCACATTGTACAGCTTTTGGTGGTAAAGGGTAAAAAGAGAAGCAATGTAAGTCTTCATTGCTTTCAAGCTTATTCGTGGAGGAACCTGCATCGATCATAACTGGAAAACACTCTTTCTGCAGAGAAACTGACAAATTGCCAGGTTCCTCCGCGAATAAGCTTGGACTTTCTCCGTTAGTGGCTGCTGCGTCATGACAAGCGGCGGCACTTTTACATCCTGCCAGGATGGCATCTCGCGTTTCTTGTCTCTGCGCGGATTTTACTCGATATAGACGAATCCGGCGAAACTACCGGAAGTAAGCGGGCGCCATTACTGAGCTGTTGCTGGGTAGCGTTGCGCCATTGCCTCCTATTGTTTTATTTGCAACTTGCGTCCACTGGAATAAACAGCCCGCGATTTACGACTGTCACTAACGTTACAACTTTAATAATGTCGAGTGGGAAAACATGTTGGCATTTTGAAAAATCATCGGATGCCAGGCGAAGGAGAAAATACTCTTGAATACCTTTAAAACAACAGAAGGGGCGCATTGGGGTAGTAACGTTAGTAACAGTACTGTTATGTCTGTTGTTAATGTTTGATTTGCTTGACTGTGACAGATTTTTTTTTTAAATAAATTAAATTAAATATGCATTTTTTGCTATAATAACAATTATTTAATGACATAAGTAAAAATGTAATATAGTCCTCAGCAAAATCTCCTCTCTAGCTATTTTTTCTATTCAATTAACATGCTATGGTCATTAAATGGCTTTCCTGAGCTAAATGTAACGTTATGTGACATAATTGTTCTCCTGCTGTTATATTGACCTCTTTCCATGGTTTAAAAACACTAATTGGTCGATATTATGTATACTTTCTAGCTGTACCTTACCCTTGCCTTTTGCAATGTGAAAATGAGATAAATAATGGACACAAATGAAAAACATGAATTCGTTTATTTGATGTCATTCATTTATTTATTGTTGCCAAATGGACAGATCTTTTTATAATTTCCTCGTTAGCTAACGTTAGCCTAGCTAGCTTGCCAAGCTATTTTCATAAATAATCTGTAAGATCGTTTGTACCTTCATCTGTGACTGGAGGCCACTGTCTAACATCATCAACCCAACAAGTCATTCTGCCTGGCTGTAGCTGTCACATAGAGCTGTCATCGAGGGTGCGTTATCACCACAGTCTATGGTTATCACGGAGGTTTGTTTACATACCTGTAACAGCTCAGTAATGGCGTCGCCACAAGATGGCAGCCTACACAGAACGCTCGTCGGATTCGTCTATACGGGGGCGTTAAGACTCCCTGTGGGGAAAGATCGATGGTACGGCATTTGGTTTATTTCTACGCTTAAAGGAGCATTGGGGAAGTTCTGAAATTTCTTACCGTTACTGACACCAGTGGCCGTTAGAGAAACTGCAGCCAGTCTCATTCTCGTTCTCGGTGCGCACACTCGCTCGCTCGTTGGCCGCACTAGATAAGGCTTTTTTTTTTTTTTTTACTTACGAGGAGTTTCCGTGGGTGTCTGGATTGTGCTGGAGGCTGGTCGCTTCTTTCTCTCCGCAGAGTCCATTTGAAACACTACTTCTAGCGATTACCGCTGCTTACTAATGGCTGCCGTACGGATGTAAGCCCAAGTAGACGAGAACGCGCATGACGACACATTTTGTGAATTTTCACGCCAATTCGGACCTGACTCCTCCACAGACAACTGAGCCTACAGGCTGATAGAGGCAACCGTGGTGGACAGTCAAGGTGTCATTCTTTCTATTACATTATGGTTGGCTCATAAATGTACAAATGAAGACTCTATCTTAAAGATTTTTTAAGTAAAAACCTACACATAGCCCCTTTAAGTCCATCGCCACCTGTAAGCTCTTTCAGTATCTGTGGTCTACTAAAAGCATCAAAGGCATCAGGGCTAAAGTGGAGAGTACAAAGACATGGGTCTTTAGGAATTTTTATTTGTCCACAGGCATCTTTCCATTCTTTTCTCCTCTTCTTATCACAAGGAAAGCAGAGAAGACTTACATCGCTTCTCTTGTTGCCCTTGACTGAAAATTACAAGTCAAGTCAAGTCACCTTTATTTATATAGCGCTTTTTACAATACTGATTGTTTCAAAGCAGCTTTACAATGCAACAAAGTTTGTTTCGAAGATCAAGATCTAGAAGAAATCATGTCTGCTCCCAAATTCAGGTGTCCAGGAATGTACACCTCCCTCAGGTAGAGCAGATCTCCTATGCTTCTTGCGGAGCAGAAAATAATGTCTTTAAAGAGTCTCTTATTAAAGAGCGTGTTCTCTGGCCCGTTTGTCCAAGAGAGACTGTAGCGTCTGCGTTAGCAATGGAATATGCTCTGGCTTCACCTGGAGGAGAACATGCCATGGAGATGAGGAGGATGAGATTTAAACTGAATTCTGTAGTCGTATTCTATAGTCCACAGAACCCAAGGAGAGAAGTTCGGCAGAAGAGGTATTCGTGAGTTGAGACGGGCCAAAAACCTCGCCGGAAACCGTAGTTCCACCAAATACACCGGCGGTGGCGGGGTCGAGAGAGAGATAGGGCATGTAGGTCGGTACCACTCTCTCTCCCTCGAAGGGGTTCGCCAGTAAGGACTTGGCGTCAGGATTTCTTTTTCTTGGCTCCCTGGGAAGCAAAAACAGACCTGAGATCGGCCGCCTGACCCGGTGAGGGACGAACTGCTGGAATGCATCAGATTGCTTCGTTGCCACTTGAAACCTGTTAACAGCGGTGTTGACCGTGTTGTCAAATAGGCCAGATGGCGAGATAGGGTCATCCAGCAGAAAAGCTTTCTCTTTTCCCTGATCCCTTACAGGTTTGGCCACAGATGCCTCTCCGTAGCTACCATGGCTGCCGTTGAATGGCCGTTAGCGTGCGCCATATGTTTGGTTTCCCGAAGAGACTGGTCTGTGGCCCGTGGAGCTCTTTAACTGCGTTAGGGTCAAGGCCCTTGCTGGTATCCAGTTCCTTCAGCCGGTCAGCCTGGTAGGCCTGTAATACAGCCATGGTGTGATGGAAACCAAAAGCCTGACCTGCCGCTTGCCAACCAGTGCTGATATTCTACGGCATGGCCTGGAAGGCAAG